AAAATTCAAAGTATGTGATAAAGTTCTAAATTTTATTTGTAAATAATGTTTTTATAATTTAAGTTCTATTTAATATATTTTACCCTAAATTAAATAAATAAATATGAGAAATTTCAAAAAATACCACATTTCAAGTGTCACTTTACAAAAATGCCACACTTTTGAAATCTTTAAAAAAATGCCACTTTTTCAAAATTATTTTTTTTAATATTATTTATGTTTGGGTTAATTATGTTCTATTAGGGTTTAGTTTTGAGTGTTTAGAGGGTTTTAAGTGTCAAAACATTTTTTAGGGTTTAGAATTTTAAGATATAGGCTTTATAAATCTATAATTAGTGGCATTTTTGTAAACGGACACCCCTAAATGGCATTTTTACTACAAAAAATGGCATTTTTGTAATTGCCCCATTAAATATTCATAGATATACACAACTAACCTTTGCGTAGAGGATTCGTGATGCATTACAATTGACTTCTTCATAACTTTTGTAAACAGAGTTCTTCCCACAGTCGCAAAATGAGAGGAGTTATTTGACCAACAAACCTCTTCCCATCAAAGTAAATTTTTTTAGAAGTAAATAGACAAGTCGGCTTAAGCACGCAAATTTCCCTGTATTAGAAGTAATTTTTTTATACTATTATTACAACTTCCGAAACCATAATGTATATTATACTAGAATATGATCCGTGTCAAAAATATTAATATCAAAATTTCAGTTCTAATTAGTAACCGTTTGATTACAATTTTTTTTTAAATATTTAAACATGGATCTAAAATATATATATATATATAATATGGAAATCTCAATGTTAAAGTTTATATGGACAAACATAAAGAAAAAATCTATAAACATATTTACTTTGTAAACATAGTTATAGAATATTAATCTTTTACCTATATTTTTCAGTGTTAAAACAAGAAATTATATAAAATGAATTTATAAATGTTATTAAATAATAATAATATATTTATTATTAAGATCCAAAAGTGTAAAGTTTGACGAGTATAGATCTCTATGAAAAATAAACCGGTGACACCAATGATATTTATCAATCATAGAATTATATATATTGTTTGATTAAAATATTTTAATAGATTTTTATGAGATTATTCGCATAAATTTATTGTTTTATAATTTTGATATCTATAATATTTTAATTGTTATAAGATTTTATAATATAGTTAATACAAATTCATAATGTGTAAAAATATTTGTTTTTGTTATTAATAATATGATTTGAATTCCATTAATGTATATATATATTTTTTGGCCTGCATAGTATGAATTAGGACATAATAATTAAGATATAAATTAAACTTTAATGGTTTTAGATCCATGTTTAATTATTATAAAATATTTTTGTAATTTATCGAATTACTAATTTAAACTTAAATTTTGATATTAATAAATTTTAATGTGTTTATTCGCGTAGATACGCGGGTCATAATCTAGTAGCTTATATTTTTCCAAATATACTAATACTAGATTTTGACCTGTACCCAAACGCACAATAAATAATTAGGTTGACTATTCGATTTTTAACATATATATTTTTAAATATTTAAACGTGTATGACAAATCATATGATTTTCAATATCTACAAACGTACAAAAAAGATACGTATATTTATGATGATAGTTTAATGTGTAAAAATGATCAAAACATATACAAATGTTATTTATTTCAATATCTTTAAGTGTAAATATCTCATTATATCTTAATTAAACTTTATGTTTTTTGTTAAGCTTTATAAAAATGATCAAAACATTAAGACTTTTCCATTTTGTTTGCTTAAATTTATTTTGTGTTTTGCTTATATTTTACTTATGTTTTGTATGAAAAAAATGATTCCAATTTTATTTCAATTAGAAAATACTGTGAAAGTTTAAGTAGAAAAATACATGTCTATATGCTTTGTCGCTAAACAAAAATAAACCATGATTTGCTGATATGATTAATCATGATCAACTAATGGTTTGCTTACAT